CATTCATTATAATTGTTTATAAAACCGTTTGCCGTTAAGTTACACACGAGCTGGCAGCAATGGAGCACACAGATCACCATTGACACTAATTAAGGTAGTAAATGGTGGAAGTTAGTAACCTTTTAAAATAATAATAATAATCTTTATTGTCATTCAGCAACATAAAATTACAATAGGCGTCAGAAGTCAGGACACAAATATGACATCATGCTTAAATCTAAATATCATCTTATGAAGCATTGAACAGGCCCCCTAGATACAGGCCTAATATTTTATTTAAATTTAAAATTCTAAGAATGAATGCTCTTACACAAATGTATAAAAAACTTAAGTAAATAATACTTTAAAATTAAACAATTTGTAAAAAGATTTTTGGTCATGCAGGCTGCCTCCTAGTGGCCAATAGTGTCAAGAGTTTAGAGTAATTATTTGTGTTTAAAAAATCGTCTATAGAAAAAATGGCTTTGCTAATTAGCCATCTTGATAATGTTGATTTGAAAAGGTTTATGTTATCAATTTCTCTAAATGGAATGGGAAATAAATGGTTTATTGAAAAGTTGTAGTTGTAAATATTTTTGGCTTTTTGTGAATTTTGAAAGTCTAACTGGTGGGATGTACAGGTTGTTTGATTGTCTAGTTGAGTGGTTTTGTGTCGAGTGACATTTCGTATAATTTGTAATGTTTTGTTTAACATAGACTAATTTATTAAAAGTATTAAATACCTGTAGTACTGTCTGTGATCCTGGAATTAAGGTCAGCGACCCAGGTTTCGAACCTAAAGGTACCTAACAGGTACCATAGTTAAAAACACATATTCCTCTTCATAACTGTGGAGAGTCGTTATAACACACAAGACACGAACACGAAAACACTAAACATTAAACAAAATTGGCCAATTACAATACTGGTACGTTAGCGTGCGTGGTGTAGCCGGCAAAAGTGTGTTATAACGACTCTCCACAGTTATGAAGAGGAATATGTGTTTTTAACTATGGCACCTGCTTGAAAATGAACCTTTAGGTTCGAAACCTAGGTCGCTGACCTAAATTCCAGGATCACAGACAGTACTACAGGTATTTAACCTTTTTATTAGTAAATTACGTGATCCAGAGGCTAAACATGTTAACATTATATTATTATTTATAAAGAAAGGTTTGCAGTTAACTTTATTTGGTATATCAAACATGATCCGCAGGACTTTTCTTTGTCAAGTAAATACCCTGCTGGCCCCACAGCTATTTCCCCAGAGGAATATTTCCATATAATAAATGTGTATGAAATAAACTATGGTAAACAGAAAGGAGTGTGTGATTTGATACACAGTTTTTTAGTTTTTGCAATAAAAAACAAACTCGTGACAACTTAGATATTACATTGTTGGTATGTTCTTCCCAAGTTAATTTTTTGTCAATACAGCAAGTGTGGACCATCAACTTTTAATCTACAAACTAAAAAACATTGGTATAAGAGAAAAGGTCTTAGGTCTTCTCTCAAACTACTTACTAAATAGAAAACAGCGCACAGTAGTTTACAAACAAAACAAACGGTTTCCGTCTAGATGGGATAGTGTCCATTATGGTGTACCTCAAGGTTCTATTCTGGGACCATTGCTATTTCTGATTTTCATTAATGACCTTGATTCAAATATAAGTGGTAGTTTATTTTTGTATGCTGATGATACTAATGTCGTGGTAAAAAACAATGATTTTCAGCAATTAGAAAAATCAATTAAAACAACTGTGGATGAACTAAAAAAATGGTTTTTCAAAAATGGTCTTTTAATGAATGATTCTAAAACCCACTTAATGCACTTTAAAATTAGAAATGGTGAGAAAAACAAGTTGGAGAATTTATCTTGTGGAGAGCTAAAATCAGTCAATACCCACAAGGTTCTAGGAATACACTTTGATTATAAACTAAAATGGGAAAATCATATTCAATATCTGTCCAAAAAGTTGAATTCGTTTAGGTTTGCACTCAGTGTAATTAGTAATACAACATCAATGGATGTATGTAAAATGGTATACCACGCCTACATCGAATCAATAATTAGGTATGGAATAGTACTTTGGGGATGTCAGCCCCAAACTAAAATCCTTTTTAACGCTCAAAAATCAATAGTGAGGACTATGGCCCGAGTTAAAAAAAGAAAAAGCTGCAGATCTTTATTTAAAGATATTGGTATCTTAACACTTACAAATCTTTACATAGTTGAAATTGTTAAACTAATGTTTAATGATATTAAAATTTTTGATGACTGTAAATTCAACCATACCTATCCAACACGACATCAGAACAAATTGAAATTTCCTCGGCATAGGCTTTCATTCTATGAAAACTCTCCAAAATACATGGCAGTAAAAGTTTATAATAAATTGTACAGCATTTTACAAAAAAATAATTCCAAAAACTTAGCCCTTACATCTGTACATAAACTTCTCTTACAAAAACCATACTACACTGTAGAAGAGTTTTTTAAGGATACTTTTTAAACTGATACGCTGAATGATAAGGTCTTTTCTAGTTATATGAGATATTTTACTTATGTTAACTTTATTATTTTTAGTTTAGTTTTAGTTTTAGTTTATATTCTGACGACACTCCAATCTTTTGTACCTTGTGCATTATAAGATGTGATGAGTAAATAAAGAATTTGAATTTGAATTTGAATTTATCTAAGTAAATACCTAGCAATTTAACATAATCTGGATTTTCAATTTGGTTTCTGCGTAGTGTAAAACATATTTTCTCTGTCTTGTCATTATTAATTTCAAGAAAATTACTCTTAAACCAATTATTACCAATATTGATCATGTTATCAATTCCATGGATTGCTGTGTTAAGATCGTCAGAAGGCCAAATAAACGATGTGTCGTCTGCATATAGAACTGTTTTACAAGGCATAGCATTTGACAAATCATTAATATATATAAACAACACTGGCCCAAGTACTGACCCCTGTGGCACCCCAGCAAGAACCTCTTTAAAAGCTGATGTTTGTTTGCCGGAAGCTACATATTGTTGTCTGCCACATAGGTAGGTTTAAAAAAAAAAATTCCTACAGTTATCTAACATGTACATGTTCTCTCACTGATTTGAGAAAGCAAAGTGGCCAATTCGCTCATCAGTGAGACAATGTTAACATTGTCTCACTCTAATTACTTTGTCTCACTCCAGATTTGCAACGTGAAGGCACGAAATAGTGAGCGCGTAACATGCAGGCAACGTCGTATGCGCGCGAAATACGTTGGCAGCACTGGCTGTAAATCAGCTGGTCAGCTGTTGTACTGTTGTATTTGTCACTTCACATTAAATGTTATATTAAAAGTTCACTTCTGTGTAAAAATAGGTTATGTTTCTTCACCAATTTATTTGCTTTTTGGTAACTGTAGGAAAAGTATAATGTGCAACTCGAGTTCAAAGTACAATTGCCTCACTCGAGAAACCATTCCCCACTCGCCTACGGCTCGTGAGTAAGTATTTCTCTCGAGTGAGTCAATTGCTCACTTTTCTCACTAGTTGCACAAATAACTATAGTTCCTGGTGTTTTATACCATAAAAATCCAATTTCTGCAAAAGTAAACTGCAAAATGTATCTTAAATACTAATACTGGAATACAGATTCATATTGATATTCATGAAATAAAAACAAATATTGACTACTAAGTGTTTGAATCAATTTAATACTCATTTTTCTGTTAGCGCCAGGAGTTCAGTTTTATTTTAGTGTTTGTTGTTTATAACAAATTTATTTTTAGTTTATAAGTCACATATTTTTGTTCGTATGTTATGACCTTCAATCTCTTTCAGTTTCAGTTTTGATTGCATGATAAACATTTTAATAACAGATGTATTTTTTTTTGTAGCCGTGACCAACTAAAGGTTTTACATTTGGGTTTTGAGAATTGATTCTTTTAATATCGGCCTCCGCTTCGAGGTTTGAAATGTCTGGTTTTGACCATCACTAGTTCAATTGACTCTGAGTTTTAAGTGTGCAAAAATTCCACAGAATGTGGCTGGTGCGCCCCTGCTCGATCAATCGCCTCACCCCCTTAATATTACACTCTGGAGCCCGAGGCAATTCTCACCTCCCTGTAGAGTCAAAGGCTTGTAGGGACAACAAATTATTCATGATTTTACTTTCCGTTATTGTGGAGTTTTGATGTGTTTTTATCAGGCTATAATATTTATTTAGGCTTAGAAAATTTTGGTTCGATGAACAATATTTTTTCTACTGACTTCACCATTAATTACACTAACATTAGACTAATCATTATTTGCCTTATTTACCTTTATAAGTTAGCTCCCACATTTTTTTAACACTAGTTTCCTATAATTAATAAAAAGCTGTTATGGATTTATTCAACTATTATGACCTGTTTTAAAAAGATTAGATGCAACAGTTTACTCCGCCAATGTAAGGTGAAATTCAAATACAATTTTATTTTTATTTTAATAAGATTAACTAAGGCATATTTTACTGTAGTAGAACATACCACATTTTTGGCATTATTCTAGACACATTCAGATGTTAATTTGATTTAATCTTGTGGTCTTCATTCCACTTAATTTATATGTACGAGACATGTATCATGATCCAAAAAAATAAAAATTATCCACAAAGTTTAGTATTAGCATTCAGTAAAAACCAGTATATGAGTAAATCTAGATGTGAGGAGCTTTTCCAACTTGACACAAGCATAAACCTCACTCATCTTTAAAAATACTAATTCTCAAAGACAACAATTACAACTAACTCATTTGAAAAGAACTGGAACACCACTTAATCATTTTAGTGGCCCAGGCAGGACCACTTGTAAAATTAAATAAATGGTTTAGTTTACCACCCAATGACCTCACCTTGAGGAATATGACATTTGAAGCCTGGTGATGATATTTTCATCTCAAATCCAGTCACCATAGGATATCCCACAGACACCACTATTTAATTGTTTCATTTTCCAATCAATACACATGATAGAATTAATAAAACACAAAAATTTAAGTAAGAACTTTATTGACACTATCTTTATAAAATGTAATACCCATTACATAACTTGTCGTATGTATTTCGTTATCCATAGAAAACTAACAACATGTTCTACAAAACGCAATTATTAAACTTTATCATAAGAAAACATGAACAGTTAACAATAAAGAAACCTCAACTAACTAAATTGCTTTGTTTTGACTATTTTACTAAGGACGCAAATATACAAAATTAAATTAGTTATATGTTATGTTCTTTTAGCAAATGACTCATAAGCAATTTTTTAATCTCCTTTGAAAGTGGATACAACTCATTGTCAGTGTTGAATACACACTGTTAAAAACAAGAAGTAGGATGAAAATTAAACTGAATTAAAATTGAATGTAAATCACATTTTTGTTCCTAAACATAAATAACTAAATAGGAATATTTGTATAAATATTATTAACTTAGGCATTACATTGAGTCAGTTACTCATACCCTATTAAAGCATCAAATTACATTGTAGTAAAGAGTCTGCAAAAAGTAAATGGGTAAAAATATTTCATGAAATTTTGTACCGCTAGATGGACATAGGGTAATTATATAAAACTTAAATCTGAATCTAAAACAGATATTGCTTTCACTCACAACAAACTTGGAGTTATTGCCACCAAAAATGAGGAACTATTAAACATTGCTAGTGGCCACAGTATGACAAGAAAGTGGCCTTCAAATTAATGAAGTGTGCACTGGGATGATAAAAGTGATTTGAAATCAACACATTACCAAACAGAAAATACCTAGTTATTGCAAGTTTATCAGATAATGGGGTGAAAAAGTTAAGAACTTAATGGGAATGCTTGAGAGATTTCGAAGGCTGCTTTCATCAAGTGATATGCACATGGAATTTTAATTGATTTCTTTCTACAGACTCGCAGGATATAACTTTATCAAATATTTCACTTCAAACTAAACAGTCTTATTAAATCACATTGTTCCCGTTCTACAGTTACTCTGGGTTGCAGAGTCCATGGTAACTCAATTCACTATATACAATCTGGTTGAGACAAGCCCAGCACTTTGATCAAAGATTTTCAGTTCAATTTTGGAAAAAATAACACATAAATAAATCATAGCTTTACCAAAACATAATTTAACAGGTACGGAAACAGAGCGTGTTTAAAAACCCATCCAACTACAGTACAATACAAAAATACCTCACGGTCAAGTTTATTGCAATAAATAGATGCAAACGAATAACAAGCATCATTCACGTTGTAACTCATAACTAATAACATACTTAACTACTAAAATGGTGTTTTAACATTGCAAATGTACTACAAAACAAAACATAAAAAACTTTGAGAAACTAAAAACTTTGACTTCAACTTAAACACATTGTGCTTAATGTTGGTTATTAAAACTATTTGGCTAATGTTCAATGCCAATAAATAACAAAACAAGAGAAAGTCGTCTCTAATGATGATTCAGCAACCCTGCAATGGAGTTAGCTCAGTCTTATGAAATAAACCTTAGGGCGCCGATCTGTAAAAGAAAAAAACAAAAATCAATCAATAAATGACCTTGATAGATGGGGATCTGTCTTTAACCCACTTAAAATCGGCAATCAGAAGCATCAAGTTTTATCATCAGGTATAAGTTGATAAAAAGTTTAGATTATAGAAAAAATATTTTCATAAAACTTTCCATTAACTTTACTATATACCATCCTATGATCTGTTATAAAAATTATATGGTCTAATCTGTTTTAAAAGTATTAACTAGGGATGGGCCGGATTTTAAAGTTTTGTTGTCTTGTCAGTTTTTAGAAAGAAAACCGGAGACCCAAAATGGATTTAAAATGGCAATTTCAGTTTATCAGTTGCTGTACAATAATTTTGCTGTGATTCTGGCCATTCTGGGAGACGATAATGATGTCTTTGCATTTATGGGAGATGTTCAAGATTTTGATGAATCGCTCGACAAGATGAAGATGTCTTTTCCATTCCTGGGCATATATATATATGCTTTTTCCACGATCACAGGAAACAATGATCATGTCTTGGCAATCGTGTGATATGCTATATGTCTAAGAATTTCCGTAACTGTGGAAGAGGATGATGATGATTGCAGAGGGTGTGTATGATTTTGATGCGATCTTGCGGGAAAATAAAGATAAAGATGAGTTAAGAAGATTTTCAAAATATTGCCACGACAGCAGGATACGATGACATTGCAGGGGGGATGCATAAGATTTTTCCGCAATCACGGGAGATTATGATGATGTCCTCCTGATTGAGGGAGATGTCTAAAATTTTGGCTCGATAGCCGGAGATGATCACGATCATGGATTATAGTCAGGATGACTTTATGACAAATGCACATTATACCAAATTGATTATTAGTAAAGATAATACTGCTTTTTTACAGTTTTCATGTAAAAAATAAAAAAATGGCAAATATCTGGTTAACAAAGCGATTTTGGAAAAAAATTCATTCATGATTTTCTCTTTATTTTGACTCAAGGAATCACTAGGTAAAATATGTCCCCACCTTTTTTGAACACCCTGTAAAGGTGGTTAATTTATCTATTAATAACCAAACACAACTATTAACAGATAAACAAGACTGAACCAAAACCAAATTAAAATAAATAGCAATAGATACATCACTAGTACAAACCATTTATAAATTACGCCTTAATAGTATTTATTAGCTCGGGGGAATCCTGTTAGTGCACCAACCAATTTTCTGATTGTTGATTGTTTACTGAAGTAGTTTACATATCTTGCTTTTGTCACATCATACATTTTTAGAATGTCAAGTTTCAGAACTGTTACTAAATTTGGAAGACCACATTTTTATTTTGTAAAAACCACTTACACATAGGACACAACCATTTATATATATTTTTGTATAGTTTTTTAGATTTTACCAATCCAAATTTGCAATAACAAAGAGATAAAAAATACAGTTAATTTGTTTTTGTAGCCACAATAAAACCTCTTTCAATGTTACAGCTTTTTCTGCTATTTTGTTTTATAGACTAGTCAGAGTGGTTTAGTTTAGTTACAGCTTTATTTTTAAACCAAGGGCGCAGTTGTAAAAACAAATTAATTGACAACAGCCTGTTATCTATATATAAATAAAACTAATCCTAGTCCAATGTAATAAAAAACTGTAATTTACATTTTGTTCAATGTAAAAAATAGTTGATATGATCTCATGAGCTGATAAAAAACACAAAACACAAGTCACAAAAACACAAATGGCAAAAGTGGGAATTGAGCAAAACAGCAGCATGTACAGCACAAACAACAAAAACAGGCTTACCATAGATATGGGCTAAAGGGTGAATATGCAACAGAAGTACTATCAGTGTTTCCCCCAATCTTTTTTCCAGTAATATCCTAACTAATCCACCATTTCCATTTCCAAGAAGGTTATATTGACCTGATATTATAAAACCCTGTGTGTTGTAACTAAGCGCAAGAGTTTAAATTTTGCTTATATTACTTGGGGGCTTTACTTTAAGTCATCCACGTCATCAGTTCGATTGTTAATTAAACCAACAAAATAATTTTGTCCTATTTTTAACATCATGTTGCCTATACATAGTTGCCGATGAGGCGTAAACACCAGCCCAAACAATAATGATATATAATACTGATATTTAGAGAGTCGCCAATACCGTAATGACGTAACACAGGTTGGGAACACTGCCGTATATTCTGGGATTACTGCACACTATTCTGCGATATAACAGAGTGTTGTGATCAATTTTAACTTCCTCAATTTAAAATTTTTTTTCAGTTCGCAGAGATCCCGTGTATAATCAGTATTGAAATAAGTTTTATTTTCAGTTCGGCTTGATGAAAAGTTTAGCGTATTCGACAGAACTCAGAATTTACATCAATACACTCAGTCAGGGGTACAATTCTATCTTGTTAATTTTAGTAAAATTGCAACAACTTTTAGAAGGGAATGGAGTGTATATCTATTCATAGTATTACTAGTACAGAGTTATAAAGTGTGGTATACTGTTGGGTATGGTAAGTTAAGTTCATTATTGTAATGGCACTAGTTTGGTAATCACCAAAAAAGAACCTTTGACAAAAAAAATTACTTAAATTCTTTAGTTGTCTTATATAACTATTGACAGCACAGACAGTGTAATATGTAATACAAAGCATTGGCACAATCTGAAAAAACCCAAACTCAATTCCAAAATCAAGTTATTTTACTCCCAATTTACAATTAATCAAGAAGATTCAAGAACAGCCATTGACTATTTAGGATGAGAGGAGTAGAAGTTTTGATTATTCTGTTTGAAAATTTGTATATTGTCTACAAGGAAAATCACTACTATTTCAGTCGAGCCTCGATTAAGAAGTGTCTTATGGAGATTAGGAGAAAAGTTTTGTTATCAAGGGACTCTTCTTGTTGAGTGTCGTGTTATTAGTGTTATTTTTTTTTTTTTTTACACTGACCAAGTGCATGTCAAAGTAACGCTATGCTTATGCTAATGTTTAATTTTAATTTATAATGCAGTACTGTTAATCCTAATATTGTGTCACAGAGTTAAAGTAGGTTTGTAAAGAAAATGTGTTTAATGAGAAATACTCACATTTCATTTTTACGTAGTTGTACAGTTGAGGAAATGTTAAATTCGTAAGCTATTTTAGATTCCTTCTTTTATATTTTCTTCTAAATGTTTATTGAATTTACTTTTACATTCCATTGTTAATGAATTCTATCTTTGTTTTCCAAACATTATTTACACACACAACAGATGTACCAATCATTCACAACTCACACGTGCAAACAACAAGATACTGAACTTAAGATAAAACCATGCATGATCAGTAATAAGGAGTTCTGTTGTGAGTTGACCTTGACTAACAATTCACACTGCGCTGATCTGTAAGATAACTCGTTTTTTAAGAAGGGGAGTGGGTTAATAGCAGGGTGGAGTGGTGGTTTCAAGTCTAGACTTGTTCTAGCATCTGTGTGAATTGACGATGTTTCCTTCAAAACTGGCTCTGGTGAATACTCTTGGGAACTGTTCAATACAGTTTCATCTATTCGTGTAATCTTCTCAAAACTACTTGTTATAGAGGTTCTTAGTTACATTCCGATTTATATAAAGGTGCTTTGTTGAGGTGGTTTTAATAGAGGTAGTCTGTTGCAGAGTTTAATTTAACGTTATGTGTTATGGCGTTTTAAAGGATATTTGAAAAGTGAACTTGTAATTGAGGTCGTTGTGGTATCGAGGGTCGTGTAAACGAGGTTCTACTGTAGTGGTTGCCATCAAGATGCCACCCTCACAACCTACCTTCAGTGGAGGCGGTATTGGGTTGTCAGGGAGGCATATTGATACTTTCCTCTAATGATACTTTGATACTTTCTATATTGCCTGGCGACTACCAAATTTCCAAATTTTGTAAATAAAAACACACAACAAACTAAGACAGACAATAACAAGACGACTACAAAATCATCTACAAAACAGTATAGTTGAACTAGGTCTAGGATGAAAACCTATTAGAGAAAAGGCAAGATTTGTGCAGGGGACATAGTGCTCGAGTGCTGTGGGACTGTATCACTGTCAAAACTTGAAAACCACTATGAAAATATTTGAAATCTATAAAATGTGATGAATTTAACATAGAGCACAAGGGCCTAGGTTTTATTTTAATGATATTTGTTATGACATACTCACATAGACATACTCTAATAGGGAAGTGTCTGCTCTGGCGAAAAAAACGCAAAAGACCTTACACAAAAGTTTGTGGATGGTGTAAAGTTTCTGATGTTTTTTGTGCCAGAGGGAACTCTTTCCCATTCTGGTAAGCCTAATATTCAAACAAAACCCTGTAATAATAGCTAAGCTATGCAATTTTGTTACTAATTGCCAATTAGAAATGTCATCATTAAGAAAAAGTCTGCATAACAAATTCAACAAAAAATCATATTTCTATCCACCTGATTAAATGTGGCAGCCAATTTATGGGATCTGCTGCTTGACTTGACATTTTCAAATGTAATGGAAGTATATCTGCAGTTTTAAAACTATTTGGTTGGAAAAAATCCTCCAGCTTTCGTATCCACATTTCTTACAGCAATACAAAATTCTAGGGCATAATCCAGACAACTGCACCACTGATTATTTTGTGTTAGTTCTTGCCAATTTATAGGGAAGTTAGGGAAAAATATTACAGCTGTTAGATCCCAAAACGTGAGCAAGTTACAGGTTAATAGTTAATACTATAGTCAATATGTGAATGCAAATAGGAAGATTACTAAATTAAAGGGCTTCTCTGCATTGAAAGCATGTCAAATCCTTCAATGCTACAATAAAAAAACTTTCAAGTTGCTATATGAACTGATATTTTAGTACTAACAAAAAGGAATTTTAACAAACACCAGATACATTATATACCGAGCAACGACATTGACCAAGGAAAACCTGATAGGACGAGTACTGTACAAATGCCATGGAGCATGGATCTTAGCAAGATGAATTGTGAAGGTTCTTTACAATCAAACGGGAATCTGTGTGTTATGATTTTATCCAGCTTAACATTACACCAAATTTCAGTTGCTATTGCTATATATATGAACTGAAATTTTGGTCCTAACAAAAAGGGAGTTTTTACAAAAAAATCAAATAAACATATACTTGACATTAACAATGACACAGGAAAGCTGATCGGATGAGAACTATACAGCACATGCCATGGAGCTTGGAACTTAGAAAGATGCAGTGATTGTGATAGGTTCTTTACGATCAAACGGGTTTCTGTATGTTATAATTTTAACCAGATTAACATTACAACAAATTTGTACACAATGACTTTTTGTTATCTAACTCTTGTTAGTCCACCACAGTCGGTGTGGGTTGAAGTGGGAAGCAAGCGAGAGCTGAGGTTGTATGATACAGGGGTACAAGTGAGAGCTGCAGCATCACCAACCATGCCATGCCAACACCCTCAGACAGGTATACTCACCTATTCTAAATGGATCGGTATATTTGCTTTACTTTGGCATTAGTGCCAGTGAAGAAGTGTCGCACATTCATGTTGGAAGACTGGTTACTCCAATCTCCTGTGGGTGTGGTAGTGCGATAAAACCTGGTCGACGTTTTGTTGAAAATAGGTAACAGCTCGTTGGCTTCGTTTGACAAAGCCTGTGGAAAATATACATTTGAATAACAGGAATAAAAATCTAGCAACCGTCCTTAACGGATGACCATAAGGTATAACTATAAGTAAGTTATTTAACATTTACCAAATACTCCGACTTCGTTTACAAACTCCAATCTCCCTTAGGAATCACATTTTTATAGTGCCACTGAGATGATTTGTTGTATATCGGGAGGTGTTCCGTTGCATCACGAGTTAGGGCCTGTGAAAATAACAATTGAAACAAAATATAGCTTAACACTGGGCTGAATCCTTAATATGGTCTAGGCCTATTAATTCAGTTCTTTCACATCAGCTCAACTGTGCGTAAACACGTGTCATTATTCCAAAGTGTGATAAAATATGTCATTGTGCATTGTTAAGATGACATTTGAAGTATATGTTCTGAAGAAGAGGGTGAACCAGAAATTCCAAGTAAAAACAAAAACAAGAAATACAAATTTTTTTAGATCTCTAGTATTTTTTTTAAAATTTTTAACTGTTTTAATCTCTAAAAAAACTATAATTTGTTCCGAAAAGCTAAGAGACATGATGTTTGCATTGTACTTGTAGAGGAGCCTTCAGCATAGTAAACTGTGCCATGTGAACTGAGAGCTGAACTAAGGTGATTGAATAAACCAGATTGCATTCAGGGTAAGGACTCAACCCAGTGTTCCCTTGGAAAAACAATGAAATATTCCAAGCTAAAATATATAAAACATAAGACGAGATTATTAATTTGTTAAATATAATAAAATAACTATAAAAGGTATAAAATTACCTGAGTACTGCCAGAATGATCCTGTTGGTCCTTACGGATTACGCGTTTCGAGGAGCTTAAGTCCTCATCATCAGATCTTGTACAAGAAACACATCTATCACTTCGAAAAGGTCGTCAAAAGTTTAAATATACAACACGGACACATAATAAATAAACACATTTTACAATTACGGGTAGGCCTACCGACAAAAACTTGCAATGTCCGACCGCACAGTTGTAGGTTAAAGTCATGACTGCCTTTAACCTATAACCTTTAACCTGCTTTTCGAAGTGATAGATGTGTTTCTTGTACAAGATCTGATGATGAGGACTTAAGCTCCTCGAAACGCGTAATCCGTAAGGACCAACAGGATCATTCTGGCGGTACTCAGGTAATTTTATACCTTTTATAGTTTGTTCCGTGATCCAGAGACAAAAACAACTCAAAATAATAAAATAAGTTTAGCTAAGATGAAATAGTCTGTGAGCTGATTAAAGGTTATCGAATAACAACATTATTGATTGGGAAATTCCGGTTGTTAATATAAAACAAGTGGGTACTCGTTAAAAATCATTTAAGTGAAATTGTTCACTTTAAAAAGGTTATTTTCTAAATTCATGTTTTATATAAAAATCTTCTTCTTTAAATAAAATTTGTTTAAACCTTTTCAAGGTAGTGTTTATTATTCCTATCTAGATAATCAGTGTATTTTTTAATCATCAACACCTTAAGAATATTATACTTTTGGAAGCATCAAACCTTATTTAAGAAATGTCCTCTTCTTAGATAAGTTATGTATTACAAGATATAATATTACCTTCATGTACACGATGGCATCTGTGCCGTAGCCGTCACATGAGAGGAGGCTTAACTCTCCGTGGAAGTAGCGAGCATACAGTCTTGATATGGGGAGACCGTACCCATAACCTGCGAAAAACAAACTTCATGAAGGTAAGTCCTACATAAAAGATGTAGAACAATTTTAATTTGTATATCATAACAAATTGGCATTACTGATTGATACGTTGTTAGTTTCTAGACGAGAAATGTCTTTGTTTCTATGACTGTACATGAGCAATGATTGAATGAACATTTATTTCTAAAGATAACTCTAAATATACATTGTATTAGCATTTGAAGTTACTGTAAGGTTTTACAGCTTACAAGAGGAGATAAAAGATTGAAAGCCACAAAATTTTCCTAGTAGTGAAAACTGAATTTTTTTCTTTATCAAGTAACAAACTAGTAGATCAAATTATATTATAATATAACGTTAGATACATAACAAGAAAATATTGTTTTATTATTGATTACACATTACAGGTATGTTGCACAAATTCAAACAAGCTTAGGCCTATTATCTTTATTTAAGATTTTAATAATTTCAGGTTCTGAGTTAAAATAAAAACATAAACATTTCACGAGAAAATATTTAACATCAAAGGAGATTTAAATAATTGCTTTTGCACATGAAAAATATATGATCAAATTTAATTCACCTTGGAAAACGTGTGTAAACCCCATATATTCAAATGAATTCTCAAACCAATAAGGTAAAACCATGGGAAGAGGAAGGAGGGTGGATTTTACACACATAAAACATTTTCAAACTTTTTGACCAGAAATATATTAAATTCATTATAAATATATTACAGAAATATATTATACCTTTCAAAGCCACTTTTAAAGACACTAGTAGGAATGGACGGGTCCCGAAATTACGGGAAAAAAATATTCCCGATTTTCGGGTCGGGATTACATTTACTGCGGAGTTATACCGACGATCGCACCGCGACCGCGAGTCATTTCGACCGCAAGTCAAAAGTTTCTATACCTGTAAATTTTTGCCCATTTTTTGGTTTTTGTAGATCAGTGCCACAAATAGATTTTGTTTTTCTTGTTTGGTAACTGCAAAACTCAAGACTTTCTTTTAATGTACAGGAAAAAATCCTGTCCCGTCCTGTCCCAAAAATTGGGAAGGAAATAAAAATCCGGTCCCGTCCCGTCCCGAACCAAAAATTCAATCCCGTCTTTCCCTATTATGTAGTACTGTAGCCTATATTACCATTACTTATCTGGACTAATTCGTTTGTTAAAATATTAAATGTGCAAAACACAGAACAACATCTGCATATTATTCGTTTACAGGAACAATTAACCGCTGACTGATGGATTTTTATTTTTTATCGATATAGCTTTATAAACTATAACAATTTTGTATAACTTCATTTTAGACTACAAAAATTTAGGCCTAATCAAAAAAACAATTTTTAGTTTTTTATTACAGTAAACCTAAATACTGTTATAACCATATTTGTTAAACTCATGTTGATTATACAGTATGTGGATCAAAAATTTCCCTCTGTGATCCTGTTTGAAAAAAATTATTATAACTTTGCCTACTACGACGGATGTATTTCTTTTTCAAAAGTAACATGCACTACACACCAGCAAGGGGAACAGTGTGGGCGTCAGATTTGGAGGGCTGCGGCGCAGTGCTGTACATATAGTGAAACAGCTGATCAGTGAGGCTACGGGGGATTCCACCACCACGGTCGGACATCTGCAAGAATCAAACAAGGCAATGATAAATTAAGAAGACTGGCTTCCCTGGCCAGGCTCATGAATGAACTTGGAGGCAATCGTGAAACAAAAAGGATATAGCTAATGCTAGCAGTACACTTTAGTCTTTAACTTGAGTTGCGACGACGAATACTGCTGAACGTGAACCACGAGCTCACCCAGTACACAGTTAGATATATTTTAATTTCCGGCACTCGCCTTAGCTAGTCTCCTTAGACTCGGCCCAAAAACCGACAAAATTTGGAGCACAGGCGAGCATGAATCATGACGAGGAAAACTATCCCGAGCGTACACGAGCAGACAAAAGTACACTATCATGCTCACCTACATTCGGCGATAGTGTACTGCTAGCTTTAAACATGCATTTCATATCTATCTTGCCGATTCCCAGTTTATTGGATATTCTAAATAATTTAAATACAAATTTTAATAAATATAAGAACTTTGAGTGTGGTTTCAATTGAATGTGTACTTACAAAAAAATTCCATGTATAATTAATATATTAAAACATAAATAAACTTAGTACAACTGTTCCATTTATTGTATAAAACTATTAAATCATAAAAAAGAGCACAGATAAGATCCATCAAAAGTACTTTTACATTTTCAGAGTATCTACATCAGCAGCTTCTAGATTCCTTCAGGAGTTGAGAAATCTAGCGAATGTTAATAGTCACTAAACCAAGATGAAAATTACTCTAATAATCAATGCTATACCTCCCACTTTTTGGCATCATAACTTACCTATTATTAATTCCACTGATATTCAAGCCCAACAAAAATAATATGATTCAGATATAGAAAACAAAATATTCATAGCTAAAATCATGTAAAAAAATGTAATCCATGTTTACTTTTACAACAGCACAATTTCGTTACAGTGTCTAGATACATTGAATTGAGAATTGAGCACTAAATTAATTTTCTATAGACCAGATCGTAATTTTAAAGAAAAAATTTTAATCGAATAGCTTTTCCTTTGCTCAAACCTTTCTTGGTTGAAAAGTGTTTTAGAGACAAGAAATATTTGAATTATTGAGTGTTAATTGATTCTTGATACTGATACCGTTTAATTTTACCAAATCTTCTATGGATTGGTTTTACTACACAACCCCCATCTTAATGACCTTACACAAAGTAGTTTAGGGGTAATGGGGTGTTTTTGAAGCAAAGAAACAATTTTAAAACAGCAATAACTTATTCAAATGTTATCATCGTCATAAACAATCGGGCAAAAATGTGCTTTTCAATCCCACGATTCTTGCAGACACTTTCTGCGATCGCCTTAACTGTTATACAGTCTAACCTTGATATAACGAACCTCGTATAACGAATTCCTTGATATAACAAACTTTTTTAAATCCCCTAGAACTCTCCACAAGACACAGTGTATATTTTATCTCTACCTAACGAACAATCCATATCAACGACCTTGATTTAACGAATTTTTCATGATCTAGTGCGGCCTTCTGCTGCCTCAACTTAGGGTGGCGAGGACTATAGTTATCGATATGGACTCTTAACAATCGATTCTCAATACTGATATTAATGTCTAAGAATCGGTATCAAGAATCAAAAGATCTCTAATTTTAACTCAAGGTGTTTTATGCTCATAAAAATAAATATTTTATACAATTGCAAAAATATCAAAATACTTAGTTTAGTACCTTGACACACACGTCTTCCTTGCCATGGACAATGGTAACTTGGATTGCTGGGTAGTTATCATCGTCTTTCTTGTTGTAGTGTTCAACTACAGCTCGCATTGCGTTCTTGAACAGCTCAAAGAGCATATGGTACAGATGCGATGGCACGTACACAATTCTGATAGGAACTCCATCCTCACGATCTTAAAAAAGTAAAAAAATCGTTGTATCTTTAAGAACAGATAAAAATACAATACAGTAAATTCCCTCTTATCCGGACTCCTCGGGACCGAGGCCAGTCCAAATAACGGATTATCCGGTAAAACCGACGTCCCCAAAAACTCGTTAAAACGGACCGTTTACTGTGATATTCTACTTAAATTTAGGAGATCATTGTATTTAGACACGTGATCACTGGTCTCAAATCTTTCCCACAAGAACTGTCGTTTCAGTACCGCCCACTTCCTGCCGATCTAGTCCAGTTAAACCAATGTGCTGATAAAAATTGTCCGGTTAAAGAGATGTCATTTCCGCCGAGTGTAGTCCGGTTAAAAGGTGTCCGGATAAGAGGGAGTCCACTTTAGCATACGTAACAAACCAATACTTAAAATTGAACATAGCACTTCCATTGATAATAATTTTAAATAAACAACAAATGTGGAAAGGAAACTTATGGCTTTATACAAGTACTTGAACACTGTTGTAACATACAATAAAAGTATATTACGATAAAATCCACGAGTAAGTAAATAAATGTAAATTAAGAATTAGTTCATAATCCTGAACGAATCCAAGAAATTCACTGCAGACCTTGATGTACAACTAACAATACAACAATTACATAGGTACACTATGTTCATAGACAGGACAATAGATGTAAACGGAAAAGAAGGCAAATGGTCATTGGACTGTTGAGTTTGATTATAAAAAGTTAAACGAGGGTAAACACGGCCTGTTTGCCATATTTGTGGGAAGCATCTTTCACTTAAGGGTAAAGTGTATTTATGGGACAAGATTTGGGAAAGTTAACGATTAGAACTAAATAATAAATTATGGAATTCATTAAAAAATTCTAAGAATTATCAAGCTGCAAGTGAGTTGATGTTACACATATTTACTGTATATGAATCCAACTTAGTCTGGTTGGCCATGGACAAAGAAGCGCTTGCATGCAAGAACAATATTATACACAAGTGCTTGTCTGAATTATTCTGAAGTTTCAACCATCCAAATCAGAATAACGATAGTCAATTGTAAATATATTTTAAGCTATAAGAAGACCCATGAATGAAATAAAACACGTATAGTGTTAATAAATAAAGTGTCCTACATTGCTGTTTGAACATTCACTATCATCAGGAAAACAACCCAGTAAGTTTTTTAATTTTATTTCAGACACACCCAACCATGACCGTGTGACCGCGTTGTATTCCTGTATATTTCAGAGGGGCTTGATTCCCAACACTGAAATGACACGACAAATAAGCAAATGAAATGAATTATCAAATATGCCTATAGGCTTGACGTTTTCTAACTCTCACAATCTACACTTTAAAAACTATCAGGCAAAAAACACATACCGTTCACTTCTTTGATCTGGAGCTCTGGGGAGGACAAGTAGTACTGATCACATAAGAAGCGAGCATTTTCATATGCGTCTCTTACTACAGCAACCAAGTCGCATTGAGGATCAATGCACCCGATGTGACGATGGTTTGGATCATGGGTTAGTTCTCCTCCAAACAAGAGGGCTGGAATACAAACAGTCGTAAATAAGGATGAACGATAAAATTGAAATATAAACACAATCGATGCTTTTACCAAACATATTAATGTCTTGGTATCAATCATAGGAAAAAAATCCATTTTTAAACTAGGATATATACTTGATTTATTGGAGTTGCTCATTCAAAATATCTTTTGTTCCATTAAAATGTGTCCTTATATATGTATATAGCCTATAACTAAGTTAATATCAATGATTTTTGTTATTGGAGAACAATGTCTTTATGGTTATTTAGGTCTCAACGCACAGCCAAGGAAACATTCTCCCATTATGCTGCTACAGTTAGTATAGATTTATGTGAACAGTTAGTATTAGCTTTAATGACACTGCAGCAGGCCTGTTGTTTAGTCCATAGCTCTTAATGCAAACATAAGGATTATGTTAACTAAAACCAAACGTTCTGTCCACTAAAACTTTTAAACCCTAGGACAACTCAGTAATTTATTAATTTTAGAAGAATTGATTTCTTCTCTGAATCCTAGCCTCATTGTAACCTTTTCGCACGCACCTGTGAATTGTGAAATGTAGTGTTTAAAATGTAGATTTTGAGTATTGAGATGAAGACACAATTTAAAATTAAAGTCCACCGTTGATTAAACTTCCTACAAATTTGGGTAATCACCAGGGTGTGTGAAAGCTTTGATTGAAATCGTAGGGTCATCAGCTTATTGTAGAATTATGCAAATTGTAAGAATTTATGTAGCTGAATAATCTCCCATGATTAGTTGAAACCAAAGCTTGAAACATCAGTGTGTAGCTAGAATAACCTGTTGTTTTTTCTTAACCACTATTTTCATTTAGAAAAATATGTCCTTGCTTTGCAGTTGTACCAGGTACATGTGTTGTGGTTTATAGCTATCGAGGGAAACAATCCAACACTTTCCTATCCCATTGTCTCTTCTTATCGGTTAAAACAGCTTTGGGTTTGCCCCACATGTGCACTGATTAGTGAAATTAGGCCTATTAAAATACTTACTGTGCTGATTGATAAGCATGCGGATGCTAATTCTTGACATGTAAAACCGATCTAAGAAGTACTGGATGCTGTTCTCAGTCTGGGTATCCACATCATGGGACTCTTTCAATTCGAGCACTCCCTGAGCCATTGTTTGAACGACATCGGAGTGGCGGTTGCGGATTCTGATCAGTGCTTTGCAGAACCTGAAACAAGTATCAACATTTAAATCACAAGAAAAAAACAAATAATAAGATTTGAAAGAGTGGTCGTAACAGTGATTTATGTAAAGAGTATGAATGTTACTCAAACTGTGTTTAAAAAGTTTATTTGACAATAACACACAAGAAAATTAAAAAATAAAAACACTTTAATAAAGCCTGCAATTGAAGACCAATTTTTCAAATTTAGATTTGCTTAACGCAACTTGATCTTGAATTCACACCACAATGATTTCTTATGTATTTCAACTGTGGACTTTTAAGTATAAAACTAAATAAAATATTCAAAAATACATTTCAACACGATAATTGTGCACGTCGACTTTAGTCGGCACTGTCGTTGCTGTCGTGTGGCGCGCACAGATAATAGGCGGCGTACAAACAATCTTAAATACATTGGGTCACTGTAAACTTAACCATTGACGAGGACAGTTTTTAAACCTTTATCTTTCTCACGGTTGTACCGGCATGGTGAGTTTAGTATAGGTTTAGTTTAGGAGATGAACACCGTAGGGGCTGAGCCATTGAAGACCGCTCTTATTATTCAGTACTAAACGTGTTAAATTAAAACAATAAAACTGAGGTGATTTCTAGGCTATTACGTAATCGAAGCCTATGGATTTTAACGTGATTTAATCCTTACTTATCAAAACTAGCACTTCAATTTATTTCAATCAAGATCAATTTATTTTACTGAAAAAAATATTGCATGCGATGAATTAAAAACTGTATACACCATTACATCATTTTGTATACCTACATACAATACAGTCAAACAGCAGAAAGTGTTTTTTCAAATATATATTTTTTTACCATTTTTAATAGTTCTAAGTTCACTAATGCATTGATCGTGTTAAAGTTTTAGAAGAAATACAGTAAGAGTGCTACGATGAGATAGGAGTGTCATCTGTTGACAAAATGTATGTCAAGGTCGTCGTTGGGTGTATTCATTCCACCCTGTTCAATCTTGTCAAGTTTTAGCGAATTTCCCTATAGGGAAGTAGCTATTACCGTAGGTGGCACGGTAAGACCTAGACCCGGGACCGATTTACTTTTTCATTTTGATGTCCCCAGAGGCCAAAAACACTATTCGTTAAAATTTTTATATATGTATATATATATATATATATATAGACTTATGTATATATATATATATATATATATATATATACGTCCGTGAACGCGATAACTTGAGTAATTTTTGTCCGATTTTGATGAAATTTGGTTTAAAGGTGTAAAGCGGGATAAACTTGAATGAGTTCGCGAACCAGCACGATCGGACCATGGGAACGGGGCTTTATGGGGGGTTTTATGGGGTAAAAATTGGTTTTTCTCACTTTTGACCCTCAAAACACAAAATTTCCCGATTTCTCTTTAGACCTTTTTAAAGAGCTTAAAAAAACAAATAATTTAGTATGTAAAAGTATTTTTGTTTGATTATTAGTAACGGAGAAAATAAAAAAAATTGTAAATTTAAAATTCCCATGTTAATCTTATGGAGAATATTGTCAAATGTTGTAGTTTGCTTGTTTATGGATATATTTTGATCAAACTTGGCAAATTTATTTATTTTGTACTAAGCTATCAATATTTTACTCAAAAACACACTTTATTAGTTTCCTTGTAGCAGCAAACCTAGGTACTCGTTAAACCTAATGTTATTAAAATATATTTAACTGAAAATCAATTCAGACAAATGGTAATTCGCTTGGTCGGCAGGTTTGCTGCGGCGGGGGTATCTTATCTAAACATAACCAAGCAAGCAGGTTGATGTTTCACGCTTTTGCTCAGATTTTAAACAAACGTTGAGAAAGAAACTTAATAAACAATCCAAATGGTTTCTGTAAAAAATTATAATGGTACATTAAAATAAAATATGTCAAACATATTAACACATTATTAGTTGGTTTAAACTTATTCTATTCAAAATTAAAAACTACAACAAAACTTTTAGACTCTTCGTACTTTTGTTGGTTGACCACTAGTTCTAAAAGAGTTTTTAGACAACAAAAGAAAGCAATCAGAACTATTTTTAAGAAGCGTCGTAAATTTTCCTGTAAACCACTTTTTGCTAACTATAAAATTCTTACTTTTTCGTCAATCTATATTTTAAACTGTCTTGGATTTGTTAAGAAAAATATCGACCTTTTTAAAAATCTGTCTCATCCTAACTCCTATGGTTTGAGAAGCCGGTCGATTTAGACATTCCAAAACACAAAACTGCTTTTTTTTAAATCATTTATTGTACAATGACATTCAACTGTTCAATGCACTGCCCACTTCCCTGAAGATGGGAAATAGTGTGGACAAATTTGGCAAAGGGGACTTAAGAGTCTTCTTTTGTCACGCTGTTGTTACAGTGTTGAAGACTTTTAAGAAAACAATGATTTTTAGTTCATAGATTTTATCCATAAGAAAATATTGTTTTGATTATGATTTGTTTAAGAGAATTTTGTTGACGCTATTATGAATTTTGTAACAACTGTCAAAAATAAAGATATTTAAGTTTGAGTTTGACAAAAGAACATTTTAATGGACTTATCCAATGAACTATAATGCCACTACATTGTTATGTGATAGAAATTATTTTTGTGGGAGTGAAATGTTAGAGCAATGTTATGTACTGACTGAGTATAAACTACTTTTGATGTTTATTCTGAAATGTAATTAGGCGACGTCTGGTTTTATTTTTGAAATGGTGTAGAACTGAAGTACAGTAGACTATTATTTGACCTGAAACAGCCGTGGCAAGCTAAGACAAGCGAAAAAGTCAGGTAACAAGAAAAATAATTTTAAAAATCAACGTTACATGTTTATACTTAATTATTAACCCTTCCCGGACGGGTCTTTGGCGATAAAGGACGGGTGGCGGATATATCCGCTTATGGTTTTCGAAATTCCGGACGGGAAGCGGATATATCCGCCTTCTCTTCAGACAGACTGGCAGGTGCTTGAGCAGTAACCATATGTTTTGCGGTATCAAGGCGCCACTTTCCTGCTCTCTCCCGCACTCCCCCCTCCTTCCCGCGCCTACTCCTCTCCCATGCAACCCCCCTCACCCCTCCTATGCTCCCTCCTTGAAGTTTCACGCTCAACAGTACGTTGTCTTTATTTATTGTTTACATATTGTTCTTTATTTATTGCCTAACGTTGTCATGGTCATATCTTCAAAGGCGGATATATCCGCTGCTTTTCTACTCATCCGCAGACGGGTAGCGGATATATCCGCATAGTGAAAAACAAGTAAAAAATTATTTTGACAGTATGAAGTGTTCCATTGTGTTTATTTTATGTATACTTGTATAACAAAACACAAATAAGGAAAATTAATTTTTATTTTTTCCTATAAGTTTTCCTCGTTCTATGTCACGATTTCGCCCGTCTGGGAAGGATTAATAATGAATTAATGATATTTTTCAATAATATAAAACCTGTCCAAGACGTTCTGCTTGTTTTCTATAAAACCATTGAGTGTCATCAGCCAGAATGACAATTTATTTTAATATCTACCTAATTAAGAAAAAGTTTTCTTTATCAATAAAAAATGTGGGCATTTGCAGCATTTGTTTACTGAACAGTTTCTCTAATTAGCAAAGGTTTAATTAGTTCAGGTCATCAGCTCTAATTAACAAGAAAATGATGCAAGCGGATTAAACCCAATCATTTATATGGCAAAAAACTGATATTGCAAAATAATATAACGTAAATAATTATTGATAGCAGACTCGGTAAAGATACTTCTGAAACATGTTGCAAAACTTACATTTTGAAAATCAAGTCAGCACTGATCAAAGTACGGTAGAGATGAAAATGCAAATAGCTTTCTAGTATCAACAGGATTTCAAAGAGTAGTGAAAAATCTTGGTGTTTGGTAAATGTCATGAAAGGATTTTAAAAATTCATCAGTCAGTTATAAACAAAAATCACTTAGACGCCTATCAAAAACCTAACAAGTACACTAGTTATTTAAAGGGTAGCTAGTTTCATGGTTCTTAGAACGGGTAAGTTAACAAAGAATACATTTTTCTTGTAATTAAAAATGGTGTTTGGCTAGTCATCATATGGATACAGAGAGTGTGAAGAAATACATGAATAATTAATTATACATGTAGCTTTTAATTCCAACAAACAAACCGTTTCCCCAAGGTAGCCCAATTCATTGAAATTCCAATAATGAAGAGTAATTGGATCTGATTCAAATCGTCAAAATGAAGACCAAATTTTTGTCAGATTGAACCGAGCACCCTCTTATTATAAATACACTTATAACACCACTCAGCTAACTTGCTGTCATAATTGAAGAATCATCATGAATAAATAATTATAAAAATATTGAAAAAATATGTTAAAAGTGTCTTTTTTACTAGATAAAAATAAATGATCACTCATACAATTTTTAAATAGAATAACCTATGTAATTTAAACGTATTATGAAAACAAAACAAGAGTGATAACAAAGTTAAGATGTTTACTGCTTATAAAATGGGGCTACAGATAACAAGTTATCCTTGAAAACAACTTCCCTCTCACATTTCCTCACTCTATGAACAATGTTGTAAACAAAAACAAGATTAGCAATTCATTCAGATTTGTAATTGGATAAGATCCAACATACAATATTGAAAATTTAATACATCATGGATATTTTACTACAATACATAACTAAAATATTGGTTGGAAATCACTCTTTCGAAGTTCAAAGAACATTTTTGTGATGTTTGAACTTGTAGGAACATTGTTAAATCATAAAAAAAAAAACAGGAAATATTAATGACTTAGGTACTGAAATACTAAATAGGAAAATTAAATGCCCTAATTTGCATGTGTATTTGGTTGGCATAATTTATTAGTCTTTGATGATTCTCTTTGTTTTAGAAAAAGTTGATAATTAATGATTACTTGGTGTGATCAAGTCTTTAGAGCAATCCGATTCAGTGAGTTAAATTTGGATCACACATTTCACAGCTTTCAACCTTGTCACACCATTTACTTTATTTTGCCATTGATTGTAAATAATAAAAAAATTAATTGATCCACACACCATGCAATCTTTGCACAGAAACTGAATAAACTTGTCTCCCAATACTGATCATTGTGCTATATTTAAGATGTCATGTCAAAACATGATAGGTATTTAAATTTGTTATTATGAGGTAAAGTTGTACAGGTATTTTGTTATCTGAAATTAGCTATTTAGAGGTTATAATTACAAAGAATTCACTGCACTGAAATTTATTTTGCCAAGAATATAAACAAATCATTATTTAGAGGTTGTACTGCAGTTTTTTTGGAGAATATAAATTAACATAGATTCTTATGAAAAGTCTTCTAGAGAATTTGGAAAATTGTTTTTATCAAGAGATTTTTTGTACACTGCGATTGTACTGAATACCAACAAAACTGTCCAAGAAAATTAAGGCATTTTTAGTAAATCTTAAAAAAGTAAATTTGAATAATCTTACGACGAAAAAAAAAAACGGGAAACATCCTTGAATCAACTTACTTATCAAAATTGTCGCTGCTGAAATCAGCCTTTTCAAATTCAACAATCTCCTCAAAAGAACGGATGTACCATTCGTTGACCATAACAACGGATGGCATGCGCAGCAGATTCTCTGGGAGAAGGCGGATCTCCTTCATAATATTGGCTAGTCTCACAGGCAACTCCTTCCTTAGGAAGGTGAAGGATTTTTTCTCACATGCGCTAAGTCCTGGAAACAGAATACATTTTGGTTAGTCTCATTCAAGCACATGTTCGCACAAGGTTCTTAAATAAAGAGGGATACAGCTAGTATTATAATCGTTCAAAATATGGACATGAAATTTTCGCTTAATTTGATAAGTAAGTTCTTTAAGGCTAAATATGTGGGGGAGCGAGCTGGTCTAGTGGTTAGAGCGCGGGACTCCAGGCCCTGGCGTCCCGGGTTGAAATCCTGCCGAATCACCAATTGATTTTATCTAAGTAATAATGTCGTAACCCCTACGTCTAGCCTGAAGTAATGTGAAAAACAATTACGGGCTCGTGCCTAGCGTCCTAGGACAAAAAAAGGCTAAATATGCTGATTTCATCACAGGTTTTAAAGTAAGAATGAGATTTTGAGATTAAGTGATTGTTATTTGTACTTTCTGTGTTATGCGACCTTCCCTGTTGATGGCCGATTAACGTGAAATCCATGCGTCTGACTACGTCAGCGGATACGTAATGAGAAGTTGTTTTGCCATCCCTGCCTGTACTAGATAATAATTGTAAACACTCTTCACAATATTTGACTCTATTGGATTCTGAATTAATAGTTTGGTCAGTACAAGTTGGTTTTCTATAGATTTTGAATTCAAAATGGTCATGCTGTTTGACGATGGTGAGGTTGAGAAAGCTTGTAGAACCATATTTATCTTCATCTTCAGAGTGAATTACATGTTTTGATGGATGTTCCACAAGTATGTATTTAATAGGAATAACTGCTGTTATTCCTAAGGGATGACTTGCTGTTTCCATTGAAGAGAACAATGGCATCGTCTACATTAATGTGATTAAAAATTATATTACCTCTGTAACAGTTGGTGTATGTGAACAAAGTTCTGTTTTCCAGGTCGTTCAAAAATACTTCAGTCAAAATGCTGAAGAGCCCATAGCTAAGCCTTCTATTTGGATGGAAAAGCTAGTTAGACATTTTAAATAATTTTGTTCCAAAACAACATTTGTTACCCTCACCAAATCATCTAATGTCAGAAGAAAGTTTGGTGTTCATAAATAAATTCTGTTTGAGAATGTTTATTGTTTCATGAATAAGTTTGAGTAAAGATTTACTACAATATCGAAGGGTACTAGGCTTTGATTATTTTTTTTTATTGACGGTAATTTCATTTTGTGTATCAACTCGGGGCTATTTTTAAGGCTTGGCTAAGATTATTCTCTAATATAATTTTGTATCTATTTTATCAATTTTATCGCAACCTTACACGCTGGTGAATTGTAACACCTGACAATGGCTCCATAATAAGCCGAAACTAGTTGCCACAGCCAGTGGTGGCCCTAGAGATTGTGGGCCCAAGGCGAAGTTTAATAGTGGGCCTCTCCTAATTTTACCTGAAATACGGTGGTGCCTGGGGCCTCTGAAAAGCGCGGGTAATGTGTCAACATTGCTTTTGATATTTTAAACCAAATTGTGGTTGAAGTATTGAATTTGTTTTTAATAATTGCGTAAAAGCACCTATATCCTCCACTGATGTATATAACTCATATGAATGCAAAATTATGTTTACATTCCCAGTTGTGTTTAGTATTTAATCTTCTATGTTATCTTCTGATAAGACAGTCAGCTGTGACTCAGTAGATGGCTGTCACAAACCACTAGATTGTTTATAACTAAATGACAAAACTTTATTACATTCAGCAATTCACATGTTGGTCTATTCGGACATCTATCATGAAGCAAAATAACTGTAATCGTATCGCAAATAATTTATAGTAAAGCTCCTTAAACTCGGCGTAGTGTGAATAATTCCTTTATCTTATATCTCCCTTTTCTTATAGCTACATGAATAAAACAACAAGGACGTCAGGCGATGTGATTGGGATTCAAACAATTAATCCCTTGATAGTTGTTCCCGCTTTGTGCCAGCACTAACAAATTTGTTTTTTTAAGGTAGGCCTATAGCCATGGTTTGTCCTAGGGGCTTGTACGCCTGGTTGATCGCTGACAGATTTGCTTGTGTGTGTGTTAAGAGTATTAGTACAGTTATAAAATGTAAGTCATTTTCTGGTTTCTGTATCCATGATTTATATTTTGCATTTAATTTCAACAATGTTTCCACACGACCAAAACAAAAATCCCACTCACTGGGTTGGGAAAACGAAAAAATCCCCTTCTATGCTGCATGAATTTTTCTGTTTTATCACTACCATAGTGATCTTGTTAGTAAAGCTCTTTAGACCTTGGGAGGTATGTTATAATATCACTTATATTTTCCAATAAAATTCAAGGTTTAATAGTTCTGATTCAAGTGGTTATACACCACTCACAGTCATTGAGAGTCCAACTGGCTAGCATTTGGATTTAAAAGTGCTTTAAATGTAATGCTGTGTAAAATGTTGATTGTGCCACCCCTTTTCATGAAATTTTACTTCTCCAAATCTTTAAAAAGCCGCTATTTTGAAACTTTAAATTGGACCAAGTTGGATTTTTTCCTAAGATAGTTCTCTTATAGATGGTAAAGTTGCAGGATATATATTTTTGATTTATGTGAAAAAATGCAAATTGGTCGATATCTAGAATATTAAAAGTTGTTGCGAAGAAATATCATAACAGATTTATTTGACCCATGAAACAGTTTCCTGGAGTTTGACACTTACTGGACACCCCGTATGAGACATAGGCGTACAAAATTGAAAAGTGAAATTGCTATTGTTAAATAAAATATAATAATAATTATTTAAATAATTGCAACACAATTTGAAGCCTTTATGATAACACAACCAATTTATAAACTGTAATTATTTAAGAATTATCACCAAAAGATTAATAATATTAGGAACTCTTTAATTATTGAATTTTCTGGTCCAATTATATTTTTTGAAGTTGGCGGATAAACAAATTGATAAGGATGTAGTAATTAGGTCAACAGCTGACAGCAATGAGCCAATGACCTCTGTCGTTATGTCTCAATTATCTGGCACGGCAAGCAACTACCCACATGTGCATCTCAACTCTGACACGTAGATCTAATCCATACGAAAGGTCCACTTAATCCATACACCAACTTCAATTTAATCTTCTAAACAAATTACTATTTTAATGTTAATTTTAACTATTGATCAACCAGACATTCCATCACCATGTTAAAGTTGTCGCCAGTAAAACCGTTAGTTGATTGGATGACCAACATATTGCGCTGATCTAAATAACAAACTTCTATCGAATACATAAACTTGTTTACCAAATAAAACTAATGGAACTTATTGGGAACTATAGCAACCTTACATGACCCATCAACCTAGTCACCAAAAAAAGGTAGAAAATAAAATTTTGGACACCAGCACATTTTCTGGTTGACACACATAACTATGTCCTTTTTAATAAAAAAATGGACAGCTGGATGATATAGATTGGATGTCTTTTGGTATCTAATAGTCAATGCATTTAGCCCCTTTGCATTGACAGATTCAAGTTTAGTTCTGTAAATGGATAAAACACTGTTTAAATAGACCTAATATTGTATTTTTAGTTATTATTGTAATTTTCACACATAAAGTCAAGAATGACAACACGTTACTGTGAGATTTTTTGTGGATGTGTACTCTGTGGGACATTAGGCTGAGACCTTATTTTGGAAAGGTTTGGTTATTTACAAACACCTAATTTCTTAGAACCAATGAATATTTAACAATAACAACTGGATCAATTTAGTTAACAGATAAAGTGTTTAAGAGCTTTATATCAACGTGTTTTACACAACAGAATTGTATTTAACATACTAGATTTAAAATTTTAATAAATATACTATAGCTGAATACTAAATTAAAAAAAAAAAAATTAGGGGAGAGAAAATATAAAGAAAACTAAGAGAGCAATTAGAATCAAAAGAGGGTATACAACTTTTAAAATTAATCAAGGTTGATTAAAGATGGAAATTAACAACTTAAAAATGAAGTTTTAAGTTGTTTAGACTAGAGTCCAAGTGTTTATATTGACATTGAAAACTAATGGGTGTGAGGAAGAAGGAAGTTTTATCAAGGTCATCAACTTTCTCCGATAAGCTGCACATTTTACAGACTATTTGGTTGATTAGTATATTCTAGAATAATACAAGACATTTTATAACAAAACTAAACAACACTACGATTTTTGTTACCAAGATTAAAGTAATATACAGTCAAGGAGTCAAGTGTGATAAAAACATTTCAACTGTTTCAAATTCAATGACAATGTAAAATTTTAGTTAGGCGTTAACACATTTTTCTTCAAACAGAAACAGATGGTATTCTGTCAATGTCAAAGGGAATAAATTAAAGCAGTCAGAGGAAACGATTACATAAAAGTAAGTGTATGTATTCAGTACACCTGGTTTTAATCTTTCCTATTCCCAGAATAGTTGGACTTGGTCCAAGTAGAACATTGACTTTTAATCTTGTCTAAAATTCAAAGTGTACCTGTAATGAAATTTTGTTGGCATTATAAGTGGCACATTGTAAGACTAATGTGGGTTTGATGCATCATTTACTATCCTGTTTATTTACTTTTAAAAATGACCTATTAAATTTAAGTCTATAAATTAGATTATTTTTTAACATGACTTAAAGATGAGACTAAAATATTGCAGATGCAACATTTTTAAAAACAAAAGTCCCAGAACAAATCATTTTATCAAATGCTCCTCGAAAATTCACCTAATGTTTGATTCTGTCAGTTGCTTTAGTGAAAAATAATTATAACACATTGCTAATATTAAAAATCAGAAACATTTTGTTTATTTTACAACCAAGGAAAAACAAATGTCCATACTGGTGTTTAAAAGTTCGTACTTGCACAGGATACTATTCTAATTTCAGTTTAATGGACTTTTCATATACACAAAGTGTTTTGACTTCTACTTGCCAAAACACTAAGCGTAAGAAAAGCCCTTTAAACTAGCCTACAATCAAAATTTATACTTTGTGTAAACAAATGTTATCAAGTTGTCTGTAAATAGCAAAGGTCAAAGAGTGTCTTAA